GGCTCCGGCGAGCTCTCCCAGCCGGGCTCGCGGATTTTTGCTGGTGAGAGCAGCTGAGGAGGGAGCGCATCTCCCTGCAACTTCCCTGCAACTTCCCGGCGCTCGCGAGGGTCTGCAATGGAAGGCAAAGGTGGGGGGCCCGGCTCCGGCAGGGGTGCGGGCGGTGGGGCGCTCGGGCCAGTTGGTAACAAAAGGACTGCAGTGCTCGGGCTCTGTGCATTGTACCGGGCTGGGAGCAGCCTTGCGATGATGTGCCGTGTACATTGCAGCACCGGGAGGGAAGTGGAATTGGGCAAGGCGATTCCTTTTCAACTCCCACAGCTTAGCTGACAGAGGTTAATATTCAGTCAGTTGCGTAGTGGAGCGTGGTGAGGATTTTGTTCGTTTGTTTGTTTATTTTAGGCAGATGTTAGTTGGTGATTTGTTTTCTTAATGCTAAGGATTTGCATAATAAATATGAGGTCTATCCCATGTTTTGTAGTCAGTCAGCAACGGGGAGGTTTTTAACAGATGAGAAGCATTTCATAATTAGAATGGTTTAAGAAAATAATTTAAAAAAAACCCCCCCCCCCCCCCCCCCCGAAATGAGAAGAACAGGGCTATAGAGCTGTGCCCTCATTACGCTGCATATTTAACACATCAAAACATGCTTATAGATTGGAAGAAATACAATGAGTATTGTGCTGTTGAACTGCCCACCCTAGAAAGAGGGAATCATTACATATTGCCTGTCTGGCTTGTGTGTTTGCATACAGAGACACATACATCCATCTAATTCAGATGCATCTATTCCTGCTGGGCATAAAAATTTGTTCTATACGTATGTTTAGTCCTGCACACTTATTTACCTATCCACCTCTACAATTGCATCAGACATCACACATTCAACTGGTACATGAACTCAAAATCTGTAAATGTTAATTGTTAATGAAATATTGATGATAAGTCAGTCCACGCAGTGGAAAGGCTAGTTGTCATTCCCACCTAAGCCTAGCTGCTAGTTCTCCTGTATAGCAATTTTGGTAGCTATTTAATTGATAGAGATCAAGGCAGAGGGAGAATATGGAGTATATATTCTCTATGGTAGACTTGTATAACACAATACTACATACCTTTCAGGGAGCTGAGCAAGCTATATTTAAACCTTAGGTTTATTTTTGTAACTAACTTGTCAATCAGGGCTATAGTTCTCCTGTGTGGGAATATCTGATTATATGCTGATTAAGGAAGGAAGCTATTTCAATCATATGGAGGCAGCATGTCCTATAAAGTACAGTTGCTTGTGGGCAGTGATCAATAGAATTACCAGGGCTTGAGCACAGGTAAGTGCCTTGTGTGTTGTTTTTTGTTTGTTTGTTTGTTTTTTGAGAGGAGAGGGGGGAAAAAGCATCTGCAAAGACTTGATTTAGATTAAAAGCTTAAAGCAGTCACGTTAGCCATTATTTGGGAGGGAGATATTCACGCTATTTTCACAGTTAACTTGAGATGGGACACCTTTACCTTTTGTGCAGGTCCTGCTGGTATGTGTCTTAATGCAAAACGAATAGACTGTGCTTTAAAAATAACACATTATGTGCCTTGTCATGCACTATACAAGCAGGCTAGAGGCTCTCTGTGGAACTTCTGATGGGACTAATTTAACTGGAGGAGTTGTGAACAGGGAAGAAAGATAACATCTGCAATAAAATGAAAGAAAATAAAACATGTCCACCTCCCAACTACCTGGTGGCAAAAGCAGCACCTGCTAAAGGGTCATCCTATTCCCATCTTGTGCAAACAGATCTATTATGATGCAGTTGCTGAGCTGGGAATGAATGACCGACCAGCTGAACAAGGCAGCCTTTCAGGCCGCTGATACTTGCAAGTTGTGCTCCACAGCAGTCAACGTTCTAGGGCTCTTGGCTTGGATGAAAAGGTTATCAGGGAAGAGAGATAAATGCGAGAGTCACCCCAAGTTATTTTTTGCAAAAACTTGTCAGCAGCTTGCTCTTACTAGAGATTTTCCTTACTGGGGATGGAGTGGGGAATAAAGGCACTCTTGGTTTCATCCATGCAGAGGAAAGGGCCATTCAGAACAAACTTGGCAGAAATCAGGCTACTGGAATGGGACAGGTCTAAAGTAGAGATGACCTTAAAGGAAATGCAGAAGGAACTTTGGCATCTAAGTGGAAAAATGAGAAGACAGATCAAGCCTGCTCAGGAAGGGGATCCAATTGTGTTGTCACTGAAGTAATTTTTGAACTGCTTTAATGCTGGAGAAGCACAGAGGCCAATGGTGCACAGATCTAATACAGGAGAGGGGCTTATTTTGTATATATGCGTAGTGAGGCACAATGCAGGTTTTCTCCCCCAAAGAGAAGGCATAAACCAACCTAAACGCTTCACATATTCAGTTTTTGACTAATCCAAGATGTATTTCCAACTGCATTGCTCTAATAGATACTCGATTACCTTGTATTTTCATTCCTAAGCAAACCTCCACATTGCAAGTCCTGTATGTTCTGGTTGCGAGACTGCTGCTTATATACTGCCTGATATGCCTTATATACTGTTGCTCTGAAGTCATCCCTTGCTTTTTAAAAGCTTCCTGCTGCAGCCCCTCTTCCACCCCCTACTCCTCCATGTTCCTCTTAGAACATTTCAAACTCGGCGTTATGCAGATACCGGGGGAAGAGTGTGCTATATTAAGCAACATGAAGTCTCTGATTAAGAAAACCTACCTCCCAGCCCCTGAATTCAGCTGCCCCTGCTGACTGGTTTGGAGGTTTCTGTCTAGGATTTGCGATCCCAGGACAACTTGTTTGTCAGTGTGGCTGATGTTTTGGAAAGCCCACAATCCTGTGTAAAAAGAGGGCTAAAGACAAGTCTCTGGAGCTGTTCAGAGCAGCCATAACTGATTGTACTTGGTTAGACTCATTCATGAGAATGAAGGGGGAGATAGATGCACCCTAGATTTTGTGCGGTAAGGAGCAGGAGTGAAGACTTTAGAGTTGTTAGGACTGTTGCAGTAACAGCGCAGGCAAGAGGACCCTGGCGTGCCCTGGGGAGGAGATGGTGATGCAGCCAATGTGCCTCCCTGTAGCTTTCTGAGATGTGTTGCTAGCGCTGCAGATTCACAGTGGCCTGAAGTCCTAGCCTAAAAGCAACGTTTGGCCTTATCTTAATTTTCAGCTTTTCTGACTAGTTCTGTTTTGCATGTTCACTATCTCCAAACCTTTTCCAACAGTGAAAAGCTTGGAAGTTCTAGCTGCTCCCAAAGCTTATTAGGCAATAGGGAAAGGAAAGACTATGGGTGAGAACTCTTTTGCCTCCACTACCTGATCCCTGTTCTCCAAATCTCGCTGCTACAGCAGTTCCTGTAGGTTGCAGCAGTAAGTGATATCACTCCAGACATCCCAGGAGCAGGGCTTTGCCAAAGCTAACAATAGTTAATGTGGAGGTTAAAGAATACTTGGTGGTTTGCCAGATTCTTCACTCACAGTCAGAAAGATGGTTATCAGGGAAAGGAACGTCACACAGTGCTGTTCAGACTTGGAGGCTGAAAAAGAAATCAGCCAAGCAAGAGTCAAGCTGCGCGCAGTATAAAACATATCCCTGGGCTTCTGGACAGAGCAGAAAGGGACTGCAGGCTAGCTTTGCTGCAGGGAGGACTCCCTTTTGTCCGAAGGTGCTGTACCCTTTTCTTTAGTAGTGAAGACACAGGGGAAAATCCCTTTCTTGTGATAAGGGAGAAAAGACATATCAGTTCAAGTCTCCACCTCACAGGCAAGCAAAAAGATCTGTCTATGTTGCATGGGAAATAAGGGCATGCTACCTGCTGGGCACTTCTGCAAGCATACAGTCAGTTCTTTGGTATTCTCCACTCCCTGGAGATCACTGCTGGATCCTGGGGGCTCTGGTGAGACTTCACTGCCTTGGGTGCAGGGCAGGCTGCTGACAGCAACTGATATATATTAGCTGGGAAATACAGTGGGACTAGTTCTTGCCAAACCATCTGCTTGTTATACTGGGAAAGCTGAGCTAAAGCAAGATGATTGGGTGCCCCAGAGACATCTGGATATGGTCTTATCATTCTGTTTTTGAGCTGTGGTCCAGTTGAAGAGAGACCCTCCATAAAGTGGGTCTCCCCTCAGGTGTAACAGCTCAGAGAGCTGGATGGTAGTAGTGTGGGCTTCTGGTCTACAGCTCTCTTCTGTTAGAAAGTCTCAAGGCAGCAGGGCTTTGAGGAGATGTCTGCAGAGGAAATCTGTATGGAGTGACTATCCCAGGCAGGCAGTGGTGCTGCCACTGTGGTACTGTGTGAATCATGTTCTCTTTCCAGGCACGAAGGCTTGGGAGCTGCCTTTTTGTTTTTGCAGGAGAGCCACAACCTTGCTGTCCACAGTCATGCAATGTCTAGGCCTTTAAATGATGTCCTATAAGACAGTATTAACATCTGGTTTACCTACCTAAGATCCCTAAGATGTAAATAAGGACATACCTACCAAGTGCTCCTCCTGGGACTGGCAAATAAGTCTAGTCTCTTTGTATCCTGCCATTTCCTGGATTTGCAAATGGCAAGGCAATTTGAACCATCCCTCCTGCTCTGAACGCTCCCTGGCCAGACCCAACATTCTTTGCACAGCTCTCTGTGCATGCTATGTTCATCCCATTTAGGGATGGGCAAAGGACAGTCAGTGTCTTTACCTTGAAGAACTTGTGATCAAAACTTAACAAGAGGGACAACAAATTTTAAGAAAGCAGATGACTTTGTGGACAAGGAGAGAGGTCTGCAAGTGGGAACATGCTGTTCTGGAAATTGCTATGCACTGTTCTCTTCACTGATAAAAGAAAAGATCTTAGTGATCCCTACAGTAGTTCGTGTCCTAAACCTATTTGGGAAGATCACGTTACAGCCTTCTGCACGATGAGTTATCCTGATGTATGCATATCTGTTAGAGTTGTGAGCCTGTACCAGGTATTGCCTACTTACAAACATTTGTTGTTTTTGAAGTAATGCAGGTTGCTTTGATAAAGACTGGGTCATGCAGAAGTCTTTAGTTTCTTCTGTATAATGGAAACCAGCCAAGTAGTGGCACAGTCATTTTTGCTATGAAATAGTCCCACCCTTTGGGAGCATCTGAACCTCGG